AAAGAATTAGTCACAGCAAGTTCCTGGAAGGTTGAAGACTGTGCTTCTTCCTTTCAGGACAAAAGATCTCATCTGACAAGCTGAAGTATTCTAAAATGTAAAGGCCCCATCCTAGCTACAGATGGAAAAGATTTTGCATTACTGAAGACAGAAGAACAACAGGCTGTGTCAAAGCAGTTTGCAGGGAGCTCTCCCTGGTGCTACTTCAACCTTGCCCTAAAACTGCCTTCCTAGTTTCCGTCTTGGTTTCCACTTCCAACAGTCGGACAAATGCCCTCAGCCCCTGTGGTCCCTTTGGTTCTGCGGGGTATGGGCATCTCACCAAAGGTATGGGCATCAGAGTCAGGCCACCACACAACTCCTCCCTAACGCACTGTTTCTCAAGTCACCTAAACTCAAAACCTTAGGGTTATCCTTGACTCCTGTCTTACCCTCCTTATCTAATTACTGGCCATCATGTCCTGTTCATGTTTTCTTTCTAATGTCTGGTAACCTTCCTTTAAAATTTCATTGCCAGTGTCTGTTTAAGATGATAAGCAAGTTCTGGAAATGGATAGTGGTGATGGTTGTACAACACAATGAATGTACTTAATGTCACTGAATTGTACATTTAAACATGGTTAAAATGGTAAATTTTACGTTGTATATACTTTACCACAATTAAAAAATTCCACTGCCAACTATTTACCAGATACAGGTCCTCAGGACCAAGACCTAGATTTCTGCTAGTCTTCTAGCGTTCTCCCTGCACCCAGCATCTTCCTATCCAACCATCTTACACAGCACTGCCTAACATATTGCTTCCATCATACGACTTCTTTCTTCAAAAATTTGCTGCTTACAGATAAATATTAATTCCTTAGCCTAACATTCCAGACCCTCTACCATCTAGTCTCAGCCTACTATTTAAAATATATCTTTTACTAATCTCCTACAGCTACGGACAGCTCTGTCAGACATCTCTGTCTAACTGACAGTGTTTTTGCTCATGCTCTTTCCTTGCCTAGAAGATTTTTCTCTCCATCCAAATTAATCTTATGTACCCCAATGTTACTTTTTCCACAAAGTGTTCTCTGACTACCATAATCCAGACTGACCTCCCTCTCTCCTTGTTACCACTGACTGGATGTTCTTATCACTCATTTGAAGTACCGTAGAATGTACACCACACACATTCTGCCTCCTCAGTTAGGTCACGCACTCCTTGAAATCAGAACATTGAATCTTTTATTTCTTGGTATCATCCAGTGTCTAAGTAGAAGGTACTAAAAAACGATTGATGGATTGATCTAATATAACTCATCAAATAACAAAATATTCAATTATGAACTAGAAATATATGCATTTATATTATAGAAGATTTTTCAATAGGGAGCATTCGAGTAAAGGGATTTCTAGTTAATGCTAAATAAAACGAATCCTTTCCTAAAATTTTTGCTTGCAATTCACATCTATTCCCAAAACACACCTAAGATAATTAAAATAAAAAATACATATACTACTGGCCCACTGAGATAAGAATAAAAGATCAAAAGTCAAGGAATATAGCCAAGTGGAGATAATTATACTGGAAATGTCAGTTAAGGCAAGATGAGTTGTTGCAATCAGAGATAAGTTTAACATGACAACAAGAGAGAGAGATCGCTGAAGGTCCTTTGGAGTCTCTCTCAAATATGAATTGTCTACACTGGGCTTTTGACACAAGCAAAAGGTTCTGGCAGTCATCAACTTCAGATAGAAGTTTTTCATAAATGTTTGGTATGCAATACCAACTAAAACAATAAGTAATCTCAGAGCTTTAGACACCAGATAAGTCTACAAGTTGATAATTTGTTATAAAAATGAAAGAGCTTAAGTGGTGTTCTTCCACCCGAGGGCCACTGTTGATCCACATGATTGAGGATGACCTAGAGCAGCAGCCAGACTCTCCTCAGTGGCAGTTTTCGTTTAGCTTAAATGTCTGAAAAAATACTTAGTTGGGGCTCCAGAATTCCATCCTATAAAGCATGGAAGAGAGGATCTTGAGCTAAAAAATTTTAAGTATATTCAGTCATGAAATAGCTTGCTCTTTACACAGAATATAATTCGAAGGCCCATAACATTTTTTTAAAAAGAAATCTGGCATTGAGTTGTGAGAGAATATCAAGAAAACTATTTAATTTATCATTATAAGGACCGAAATATGAAAACAGCGTAGTCTTTCTAAGGAGATTATATCAAAACAATTTTATTAGTAGAAAAGCAGACATGCAAATACTATATAACTGGCTGAGCGTAACATCTGCTTTTAGTGAGTCTGTCAAGAGTCACCTCCGGCTTTAGAGGGACCAGCTGCAGTGCGTACCCTCCACGGTAGGAGAACTGCACACAGGATAAACCAGCAGAGGCACAGGGGCTCTTTTTATTTATTTTCTACCTGAATTACTAGAGAGCAAAGTTTATTTCATAGAGGCTATGCTGTCTGACACCTAACGCATTACTTAGCAGCTTACATAACTAGTAGGTACTCCATTAATACTTTTTTTTTATGGAATATCTCAAATCTAGCCCCTGGGGTTTCCAGGGAATGAGAGAATAATACCGATAAAGCAAAAAGTTAGTTTCTCTGCCCCATTCAGAATTTGTTATTTGTGCATAATCACACAACCCCTAAGGCTGACTATATAAACCAGTCTTCCTTTTAGAATGATACTGCTTGCTTTTTATGATGCATATCAACTTTTTTAGCCACCAAGAAAACATGTCAGGAACAAGGAGATAATTTATAAAGAAGACTTAAATTATAACAAAACATTACTATAATGTAAATATTAACAAAAATAAAGAGTGCATTCTCATTATCAAATGAAAGTTATTCTAGGAAATGTAATAAAAGCCTTTAAAATTCACAAGTATTCACAAGTTTAATATTGGTATTACTATTATTAATATTATACCTTAATATTAAAATATTAAGAATAAGATTCTTAGTAATACTAAATACGATTACAAAATATTTTGTATTAAGCACACAATATTTAAATCTTCAACTGGCTTTTATAGCAATTATTTAAAAATGATTTTCAGAAATTTATCTTAACATTTCACATCCCCATGATATGAATAAAATATTACTTGTAAGCAGTTGGTGGGAATGCAAACTGGTGCAGCCTCTATGGAAAACGGTATGGAGATTCCTCAAAGAATTAAAAATAGAGATGCCCTATGACCCAGCCATCCCACTACTGGGAATCTATCCAACGAACCTGAAATCGACAGTCCAAAGAGGCTTATGCACCCCTATGTTCATTGCAGCATTATTCACTATAGCCAAGAAGTGGAAGCAACCTAAGTGTCCCTCGACTGACGATTGCATCAAGAAGATGTGGTATATATATACAATGGCAGACTACTCATCCATAAAAAAAAGACAAAATCGTCCCATTTGCAACAACATGGATGGGCCTAGAGGGTATTATGTTAAGTGAAGTAAGCCAGAAAGAGAAAGACAACCTGTATGATATCACTCATATGTGGAATATAAACCAACACATGGACAGAGAAAACTGTATTGTGGTTACCAGGGGCAATGGGGGTGGGAGGTGGGCACAAGGGGTGAAGGGAGACATATATATGGTGATGGACAAACAAAAATGTACAATCCAAAATTTCACAATGTTGTAAACTATTAAAACATCAATTTAAGAAAAAAGAAAAAAATTATTTGTAAGTATCATCTAAACAGAAGCAATGGTTACCTCCTTGAACTGCTCATATACTTCAAGTAAACATAACAAAAGTTTAGTTTCTAACAAATAAGCCTCAAAGGTGTCACTTACCAATTGTCACTTACTGATATAGAAAGCTTAAAAGCACTGTAGGTAACCAGAACAAATGGTTCTGCAACTTCTGCTTTCATATTTTATCACTATTTTTCAATAGAACACAACATGGCCTTTCTTGATTGTACTACATGTGAACAGTTACACCACCGCTTTAAAAGAATGTAGCTTTTTAGTAATATCTTTCTTAATCTGGGAACTAACATTCTGAAAAATACATTTTTCCCTTTTCACTGTAACTTGGCAAAAATAAGGAAAGAAATAGCTTTTCAAGGCTGAATTATTTTTCTTTCTCTTTTTTTTTTTTTTAAAGATTTTATTTATTTATTTATTTTCCCCCCAAAGCCCCAGTAGATAGTTGCATGTCATAGCTGCACATCCTTCTAGTTGCTGTATGTGGGACGTGGCCTCAGCATGGCCGGAGAAGCAGTGTGTCGGTGCACGCCCGGGATCCGAACCCGGGCCGCCAGCAGCAGAGCACGCGCACCTAACCGCTAAGCCACGGGGCTGGCCCCTGAATTATTTTTGTTACTGTACTTAGGAGGGAGAACTCAATGATTATGCCTATAAATATTACCTTTAAAAATGAAATTTCTTCATTTAAAAATCATTTCATAATATAATCAAAAATCAATTTTTATTTTCCTACATAGAATTTAATGTCTTATTCTCACTCCTTCTATGGCAGTCACTAGTCTGAAAAGAATTTCTTTGGCCCAAAAGCATCAGGGCTTTTCAATATTATGTTATTTAAGTATTCATTTGCCAATTGTCTTAGAAAGTACATTTAGGGCCGGCCCCTAAATGGGTTGGGTGCGTGCACTCCGCTGCTGGCGGCCCGGGCTTGGATCCCGGGCACGCACCGACACGCCGCTTCTCGGGCCATGCTGGGGCCGCGTCCCACATGCAGCAACTAGAAGGATGTGCAGCTATGACATACAACTATCTATGGGGGCTTTGGGGGTAAAAATAAATAAATAAAATTAAAAAAAAAAATTTAAGAAAGTACATTTAATATTGGTATTTCGTAATCGGTTTAGTATTATTTTAGGGTAGAAGATGAGGGCCTAGAGTGAAATAGCAAGATGGCAGTTATGGAGAGACCACAAATATTTAAAAGCTTAGTTTTAACTGAAAACTAAAATTGCTTTAATTCCTAGACGGATTTACAGTACGAACCCTGAAAGAGCTGGATGAGTCGAGGACGCAGAGCTGAGGGGATCACGCTCTCCGGCAGCTCCCTCAGGAAGAGCTTTAGCAGGCTGGCTGCCGCACAGACATCGCCATCCCTCCCGAGCTCCACGGGCACTCCACTCTCGAACTTCAAGCGCAGTTGTTCCACCACCTTCACGTTGCCGTTCACCCTAAAAAGGCCTTCCTGGGTGAGTCCTGGAACAGTCAAGTAGACACACAGAAAGTAGAAGTCGCTCACAAACAGATACAAACCCTAAAAAACTAACAACCAAAATAAATAAGTCTCAGTTAAGGATTTTCTGAATGCAATAATTATCAAGCGTTGGAAGATTTTTACATTTTATAAAAGTGTGTTCTTAGAATAATAAATCTTTACAGTTACTACATATCAACTAAAAAGATCATATATGATTGTTATAAAAACTGACCTCTGAAAATAAGGTTAGGACATATATAAACATAGAATATATACTACTCTACAAAGAAATCTCATTCATATAATCTCCTACAGTACATCACAGAAACTTACCCTGGGCTCCAATAGCAGCTTAGCATTTTGAGTACAACTATTTTAAAAAAATAACATATGTAAGAAACTTCTAAACTACATGTGATTACTTTGGTAATAATTAAGTAATATTTCTTTAGTAATCACTAGATTCAAAGCATAAGACTCTATGAGACATAAAGTAGCATAAAACAAGAACCTTGCTTTCAGCCAATTGACGGGGGTTATTAGTGTTGGCTGGGGCCAGCAGAGAAGACTCCACAGAGGAGCCTCGGGCTCCTTCGCATAATCTGTGGCTAAAGCCTAGGCAAGATAGGAGGGCTGGGGCTGATGTACTGTGAAGCCAATGCAGTTTCAGCTTCAGGGCCCTTCGTTTATTTGGGTCCTTTTCAATGCTCTGTCCCTAATTCTATATTCTTAATTTTGTCTTCTTTTTCTTAAAGAGGGTCACAAAAGGATTAAGCATCAGGACCCCCAAAACCTTGATCTATCCCTGACAAAGAGGAACAAATACATTAATTGAGAAGCCAAGACAGGACAGCATAAAGAAAGGTTGACAGACGAAAATACAGAGTGTTTAGGTCGGAGAGCAATAGGGTAATAAAATGGAAGAAATGGCACAGTGAATCTCAGGTTAAAGAGTGAAGACTTTATCAGTGGAGTATTAAGCATGTATGTGGGGACAAGACACAATATAATCAAGGTTTAAGGAAGATCTAGCTAGCTAAGAAGTTGAGAATGGAGAGGACAGAGAGCTTGCCCTAGGGAGACTACATTCTATTGTAAGGCAGTAAAACAGAGATTATGGTGGGAAGGAAAGAATAAAGATGATTTGGTAACTTAGTACAGAAGGGAAGTAAGGAACAGGAAAGGTTGAAAGGTAACTCTAGGGTCTGAAATCTAGGAATCCAGGAAAAAGTGCCGTAAAGGATAAGGTGAAGTGGGGGTGAGGGGTGGCAGCTGGTTTAGGGTAGAAGGTAATGATTTCCAGCTTGGTTTGCTGAGTACGAGGAGACAGAACGCCACGTAAGCAAGTGAACCAGACTGTGGAGGAATGTCGAAGGTATAAGAAACAATCTTTCTAAGAAAGAGTAACCCAAGGACCCAACTTGCCACTCTGCTTTTGAGAGCCTAATGGTGAATTTTAGCAATGACATGAGCACTGATGCTTGTTAGAATCATTTAGACGGGAGGTGTTTGTTTTTAGCAGCCTTTGCTTTTTATCTTACCTGCTAATTGTATTGCTCTTCTAAAGAAAAAGGAGAAAGCTAATTTCATCTTAATTTGTAATTTGATAAAACATTTTATGAACCCTTTCATTCAACAATTATTTAATGAGCAACTAGCACTAAGTTAGGTACTAAAAAAAAATCAACTGTGAGAAAAAATTTGAATACTACCATTATCCTCATTGAGTTTGTACTCTGGTAAGATATTTTATATATGTTCTTGAATATACACATATTATTTGGCCATGAAGATGATGAATATCAAAAGTTGACATTTTAGCTCCAATTTACTCTATTTTTGACAAAAATCTGTGAAATCAGGGATGATATTAAAAATATTTAACAGTCAGTATGGCCAGGGCACCACGTAATCAGAGGAGATACCACTCATTATGTGTCGTAGGCAGCTTCTCAAATGGCCCCAATGATCCCTGGCTCTTGGTACCCACCACCATGTGTACTCCCCTCCCTCTGAGTGTGGGCTGGACCTAGCGCCCTGCTTCTAACCAACAGAATCTAGCAAAATGATGTGAGTAGGTTCTAATCTCACTCCTGAGATTAGGTTATAACAGACTGTGATACCCATCTTGCTTGCTCGTGTTCTCTCCCTCTCTTCGGCTCTTCTTGCTTGCTCACTCTGATGAGTCAGCAGCTATTTATTTTGTTAGCTAACTTATGGAGAAGTCCACGTGGCAAGGAACTGAGGGCAGTTTCTGGACAACAGCCACTGAGTAACTGAGACCATCAGGTCAACAGCCCACAAGGAACTGAATCCTGCCAATAACCATGTGAAGGAGCTTAGAAGTGAACCTTTCCCCAGTTAAGTCCTGATATGACTGTAGCCTCAGCCAACACCATGACTGCAGCCTTAAAAGAGACCCAGAAACAGAAGACACAACTAAGCTGTGCCAGGATTCTTGACCCACAGGAACTGTGAGTTAATAAACCTTATTGTTTTAATCTACTATGTTTTGGGGTAATCTGTTACGCAGCAACAGATAACTAATGATATGCCATTCCCTTCAACACTGCAGAATATCAGTTACTGTTGGAAGACCTCAGCTTAGTCATTTTTAAAACTTTCAAGGTCTGTTTCCTCTACTCTACAAAGCTTCATCTGTAAGTTCAGAAATGTCTACTGGCGTCAAGCAGAGAATCCCATCCCTGGTCAAGGCCCAGATCCTGAAAATTTAGAATCTTGCATCTTAGTCCTGTATCTCTCCAGCTCCTGAGCCTGTTTTTGGCCCAGCAAATGCCCCCTGAGTCTGATTTCAGTGCTTTTCTAGCTTTGACCTTAGGTTTTTCTCTTCCAACAAGGTTTTTTGACCCTTCCCTCAAATAAATATACTTTCAGTTACTCCAAAATAACTACCCAGCTCCAAGAACTGGCTTTTGTCTTCAAGGTTCCTAATCCCACTAGACCTCGCTAGTGGAGAGATAAGGTATAAATAGAAGTCAAAGTTAATGCTTCTCAATCATTTTTTTCTGTTTCCATTCCATTTATTTGCACAACTCTCTTCCCTCAGGAACATCTTTCACCCAAACAGCTCTTAGGATACCTAGTGATTTTCAAGCAGGGGAAGTTTACCCCAGGACATGGCTATATTACACTCTGGGGAAAAGAATCCATACAGTTTCTACGAGTCTTATGAACTTATAATATATCCAATACCCATATAAGGCTTACCAGACTATATAATCTCTAAATTTTCCTACTCTAAATTTTTAGGAAATTATGATTATAACATAAATGTTCAGAGGAAGGAGATATTCAGAAGGCTTTGTGGAGTTAGTCTCATGCATTTCCAAGATTCTATTGTATTTGATTTCAGGAGATATGAGTTAATCATCCAGAAACAGCAACTTAATAATGGTTTAGAAATGAAAGAAGAATTATATACGCTAAATAACAACTCCTAGCATTAATAGCTAATTTTTTGTACAATTGAAATATTTATTTCAAAATAGTGTGAATACATCATTAGAAACAAAAGATATCTGAAGTCAGAATTTGCCTAAGGGGCACACTTTGGCCCAGAAAGTAGTATGACAATATGTAAGTGCACGCTGACACCTGGTGGTGAGTGGAGAATCCTACACTATTTAAACGGCATATTGCACAGTATCTTCCCGGAAGAGAGAAGGAATCCAGTTAACTGTCAGCAAGATTCGTTGTTTTAAAATAGTAAAAAGATGATATGCCCCATAACTCATAAAATTTTCCTTTGAATGGAAAAAAAATTTTTTTTAAAGAAAAACAGTCCCAAGTCTGTTTAAAAGGCCTCAGTATAGGCCTTAATAAACCCTTCTGTCCTAAAATTTCTTAATAATGAGTTTTCCCTCATATCAAGTTGTTAAAAGTCTGCATTTACATTAAAAAACAAAGTATGACCAAAATATCTACCTATGGTTAAATTATATGACCAATCATCCCTAAATCCCACACCTGACAGAGTGCCTACTATATCGGAAGTTTACTTAAAAACACTACCAAGTAATTAAATAAAACTAATCCAAGTATCTTGCCCTCAGATTTTATACCACTCTTCAAACTTATACACGCTCTTTGACTTATCAACATGATAGTCTCAAATACAATGAGGAGCTTATGGTTGTCTACATAGTAATTTAACTACACACCCTTACAAAATACAGGGTAGGTGCCCTACCCTAGCTTGCCTAGTCAGGATTCTGATTCAGTAGATCTGAGGTATCACCCACGCACAGGTATTCTGAAAAGATTCTACTAGTGATTCCATTTCACATCCCTAGTTAAGAATGGCTGATTTAGCCACTAAAACATTTAGTTTGCATTACCTGAATACACCCTGTCAAAGTATAACTAAGGTATGCTAAGGAGAGGCAGAAGAAATCCAATCCCTAATACAAATTTTGCCAAAATTTTCATACATTGATGGTGTGAATATAAACTGGTTAAACTCTTATAGAGTTGATAATAAATGCACATATCCTTTGACCTGGCAGTCCACTTCTAGAAAGTTCATCTACAGAAACACAGTGCTTGAAATGACACATGTTAAAGCTTAGTCACTGAATCGTTGTCTGTAGACAGCAAAAACTGGAAACAATTCAATGCCCATTAGTATGTGACTGCTTAAAGAAATGATACATATAGTAAACAGTGTGCAGGGGTAAAAAAAAGAATTAAATGAGTAAAGCTCTTTATGCAATATGGAACCATCTCTAAAATATACTGTTAAGTGATTTTTTTATAAAAAAGATTCATATAGTGTGCATGGAATGCTCCGTTTATGTTAAAAGGGAAAGAAAAAACATATACACATATGCTTATATATTCAAATATCTTTGTAAGACTATATCAGAAACTAATATAGTAATATTGTTTCTGGGAAGGGAAATGAATGGTCAGGGGACAAGGTTTGGAGGAAGAGACTTTTTGCTGTATACACCTCTGTACTGTGAACCACATAAGTATATTAACCATTCAATAATTTTAAAAAAATTAAAAGAGGCTATTATTCAATCATTGTTGGGTAAAAGATCAGAACTCTGATTACACCAAAACCAAAATATTATTTTAGGTGGTCACACTTGGCATCCAAATGAGTACTGAACAATCCTATTTAAGAGACTAAATGAACTACCTGGAGATCCATTTGTATCTAAGTCAGCAGGACACAGCTTCACTCAACACTGACTGGGTAAATGAGTCCCGTCAAAGCTCTAACTTAATAACTTCTGGCTTCACGATCTTGTAGGCCAAGGTCCCATCTTCCTGCCATGTACATAACACCTTGTGTTTAACCTGTTTAAAGTATTTGAACAAATTCAAAGCTGTTCTCTAAGAATCTCGCCCTTCTGCAGCTTTCCTTCCTCCAAAAATAATGAGATAACTACCACAAGGTAAGGACGCAAGCTTGGCTCCTCAGTTCTCTGAGCACAATACCATTTTGTCACCTACATACCTAGTAACCTGAGCAAAAGGCTGTTCTGTCAATGAACACAAAGCACCTGACCTTCTGAGGTCTGAACTGTCTGCCGTACAGTCCCTGTCACAAGCTGACCCACGTTCCTGCAGAGGAACAGATGCACTGTGCTCCTCACGCATCTCCAATGAAGGACTCTTTTTAGCAGGGGGAATGGACTCGTAATCACGCGAAGACCTGGGGCCTGGAGCGAACTGCACCAAGGACAGACTTTCTTTCAAGTTAAGTTTTACCTCTAAAAATTCCCACAAATTTCATATTCTACTCTGCAGGGTCTTGTTTTAGTTTAAAAATGTTGTTTCAGTATAGAAAATAATGAAAATTCCAAGTTTTTCCCTCAAAATATTTCCTTTCCAAATCTTTTAAAGTTTATTGATATAGTTTGGAGTTCTTCCATCATACTGTTTAAAAGGCATGAATGTAGGGGATATTTTCTCAAATTATCCAGCTTTTTAAATCCTATTTTAAATAAAATCATAAAAAAGCTATAAGACAACATAGTTCTCAATAACTACAAGATATAATTTATCTTTTTATCATGCAATGTACTATGTTACTCTTCAATGGTTTCATATGCTTAATTTTATCACTCCAAAAGTAAATGACTCCCCCAAAATAGGCTATATACTTATTTTGGTATCCCCATTGAGCTTATGAAGGCAATCAAGGCATCCGATAAGTTCATGAATGACCTCAGCTGAAAAAGACACCCTAAAAGTCTTCTATTACGTTAAAAATTGACTACCAGTTGGAATTTGAAGAATCGAGAGAACTCACTATTAATATTAGAACAGTGTATTTTAGCATTTAAAACTAGGAATCATTCCAAACTAGAAACTTCTATAATTAAAGTGATTGCTCCACGGTAAACTGAATTCTTGTCAAAATAATGTCAAGCAGTAATAATGCTCTTAATGTCTTTCTATAAGGGAAAAGTATATTACACAATAATTTGATATTCTGATTAAAGTGTTTGAGGGAATAATCGAATCATACACTATAAACTAATTCACACAAAAACATTTTTCTCCTCATACCTGAGAACAGTAAAAATGACAATTAAAACACGACTTGACTTACCATGCTTCGTCAAGTACTCCACTATCGTCCCCACTATGGCTGGAATGCCATTCTCAGTCAGCCCCTGCTGCTGAAGGTCTTGGAGACTGACGCCAAACAGCTTCTTATAGGTCGAATTCCTCTGCTCACTGAGTGGCACTGCCACTATCTTTTTCATGTCTTCTTTCAGCCGCACGGCTGCTTTACTTTGCTTAAAAGAGCGTAAGAAAAAAGAGCAGTCAGTCATATTCACCACAGGAGGTTGCATGGTTACAATAGAAACACCTCAATTAAAACGTAAGCGTTTAGAGATGTACAGTAGAGGTTGTCACTTATTTTCACTTCCACTCAAATCAAAATCTCTAACATCTCTCACATGTTGCTCAGTGTTATGAATGACGCATGCTGATATAATGGTTAAAAGGAGTGAAAAATAACGAGAAACCTAAAGCCACAACTGAAGTGTAGCTGAGAGAGAGAGCAATACACTGCAGTATCTAAGATATATTACTACAGCAACCAAGGGGTGTGACTCAGAAGTACCTGGTTAACAGGAAAATAAAACATTTACAAGAACATTGAAACCTCATGCAGATTCTGAAACGGTAAGATGTTTCCAAAGATGAAAATTTATCTAGATGTCATTTTAAGGTAGCTTTAATTTGAAGTGTTTGAAATATATATATATGCACAGAGTGAACATTTACTTCTCTGATTTGATCACATCTGTGAATATCTCAGCAATATTTTGGCACGTGAAATCAACTCGATTCTCACTGAGGTTCAAAATGCTGTATCTATGAAACAGCAACATTTCAGGCAGTCACAATTTTAAAAATTAACAAGAGTGTACATATTATAAATAAAAAATACAACTTACATTCAGTTAATTCAAGTTATCATCATGGTGAAAAATCCATACAAATTTGTTTCCTCCTTTTACCAGTAATTTGTTCCCCAAGGAAATGTTACAAACAATAAATTTTAATACGGTTTAACATAACTGAGGGATTTTTTTTTTTTTTTAAAGCATGTGTCCTATATAAATGTATCTGTAAGTCTAAATGCTGAAAAGATGGCAAAATGCAAACAATTTCATTTGGGGACAGAGGTAGCAGATGGAGGAAATGTTCACTTTTTGAGAATGAATGTAGTAACTAACCAAAGTGTCAATATTATAAGTGCAAGCTAACGTAGCTGTTAGTATCTACTAGAAACATTACCTTCATTTTAGAGCTGAGAAAACAAAGATCAGACAGTTTAGTAATTTAGCAAAAGTCACAGAACTGGTAAGAGACAGCTTCATCCTACTCAAGTCCATGTTCCGCTTCTTAGATTTATATTAATGTCACATTGCCCTTTGTGTATAGTTACAGTAACGAACTATGATAAATGCTACGTGTGACACAAGACAATTACACCAAGTTAATTCCACAGCCTTGATTTTGAATCGAGTTCCTATAATTTCGATTCTGAATCTTACAATCTACAGAATCAGACCAACCTTCATGGACGTATTTGCATCTTTTAATATGTCACCCTTGAAAGTCAGATTTCTCTAGTGAAAATTCAACAGAAGTTACAATATAGATTTAGTTATCTATCCATATTATAGATAAGGTGCAGTGTTAGCTATTATGGAGTAGGAGTTTGGGCCAGAACTATGAGCTCTGTTACCAAGGAAATGATGAATTTGTTACTTAAGCCAAATTTGCAAGAGCTAATAATTTTTTTCTTGCAGGTTTAAAAATATATCAATCTTCTTCAACTAAACACATGGGGAATTTCAACCAACCACGTATTATCTGGTGAGTAAGCAGCCAAAAAGTACCAGTAATAATGAAATTTGAAAATAGTCTCAAACATAGCATTAGAAACAGCTGACAATATGTGGTTACATTACACAAATTTTATCTTACTTTTATTTTCATCTTCTTACAGAGACAATATAGCATAGTGGTTTAGAGCACAGACTGTGGAACAAGACTCCCTGTTTCAAATCCCATGCTCATCTAATTAGCTGTCAACCTTGGACAAGTCAGTTAACCCGTGTGCCTCAAGTTTCCCCATCTATGATATGGGGATACTAACAGTTCTTATCTCACAGGAACATAGGAGGCTGAAATAAGTTCACATTCATCAAGAACTGATAACAGTGCCTGGCACCTAAGTACTGATTGTTATAATCATCATCATCATCCTTCTTCCAGAAAATTGTTCTGATTTCTTCTCAAAAAAATGGAGAGACGCTTAACCACTCCTGTACTCAACATTTGTGTAGACTAAAGATTGCTGTTTAAGAAGGCATCGTGGTCAAATTGTGTTTGGTTGGTAGATAGTTTGATGATTTATTACTATTCTCCATATATCTGTAATCTCCTAAAATAGGACTGTTGAATGATAACGACAAAATAATTTTGTATATAAGTATCAGAATTCCTCAAGTTTTTATTAGAAATTCTCAAGGTTTTCTGTCTATATTTGAGTTTAAAACCTTGACTTAATGCTTTTTCTGCTCCTCATTCCGTCCCTTAGTCAGAATGTTGTGTCTCCTGTTAATCGACAGTGTAAATAAGCCATCTTGGCATTATGGCTCGGAAAGTTTGAGTTAGAGACATGCAATTAACCTCACACATTCTGAAGTAATTGCAAATTACACTACCTGTTTAATTTATACTACCTTACACTACATAGAGTCACACTACGTAGCAAATTTATATGTAATCACAGTAATAAAGGAATATCTGATTGTTTTTAATTGGTAATCTAATTTAGGTTAACACTTTTTTAAAAAGTAAATATTGTTTAAAAACAACCACAATGAAACAAAACAGCTAATTTTCAGAGACATCTGAATCAATTCTTCAGTGACTAAAAATACATATATTATAAAGCTTTGCTCCTCTAGCCTAGTTGGGGAGGGAATCAGCTAACAGGAAGCAATAATAAGATGTTACTTGTAGTTTACACCTAAATCACTATACTACTTCAGTAGTTTAAAAAATATACAACAGCTTAGAACAAATAGAAAATATCCTTTCTGGTAAGGAAGAAATATTCAATAGTCCCTTAGTCATGGAAAAATAAAATAACTGTGGAAATGAAAAGCCATGTGGAAATGTGCCTAAATTTACACGATTATCAACATTAAGAGCTAGAATGTGGGGCCGGCCCGGTGGCGCGAGCGGTTGGGTGCGCGCGCTCCGCTGCGGCGGCCCGGGGTTCGCTGGTTCGGATCCCAGGCGCGCACCGACGCACTGCTTTGGCAGGCCATGCTGTGGTGGCGTCCCAAATAAAGTGGAGGAGGATGGGCACGGATGTTAGCCCAGGGCCGTCTTCCTCGGCAAAAAAAGAGGAGGATTGGCGGTTGTTAGCACAGGGCTCATCTCCAAAAAAAAAAAAAAAAAAAAAAAAAAAAAAAAGAGCTAGAATGTAACCCCCGGTGCTCTGGCTTAGTGCTTCAGCTCTTAACCATGACACATTATCGCATTTCCAGAACCTTCAACACTGGGGGTTCTATAAGGGCCCAAGGGGGATGACACCACATGCAGCTCTCTGCAGAGCTTAATACAAAATCGATTTTAAACTACTGAAATCAACACCTGTATTTCCTTAAGGCATTCCTCCAAGAATGTAAGGACCATGATTTTAAGGTACTTGGAAGGACAAGCAGATTACATTACTGGTTAAATTCAGAACTGCATGCCTTAAAACTGTGCAACTGGGGCTAGGACTAATAAATCTAAGCAGGAATGCACAGACTAGAAAGCCACTCCACCACCAAATAAAAGGGGAACAAGGAAAGCACAAGAGGAGCCTGAGACATCTTGTTCCAGAAAGCAAGGAACGGCTCAAGGACTAACGGGGCATGCCCAAAAGACCTGGGGCCACTTAAACAGACTTCTACTGGCCAGATTTGGGGCAGGGGGAGCACCAAGAGTAAGAACTGGAAATGATTATAACATCCCGTTTAAATAAAAATCCTTGAATCCAGTGATGCTAAGAAGAGTGAGAGAAAGAGGTTAAGAAGCGGAAGTCTTCTTTCCAGAAGAATGCTGCAGCTAAACAGAGAAGGAATGACAGAATTAGAAAGTCAACATTTTCCACAAATCCTTTAACGAATGATTCCATCAAGGATTACCGATGGATGCTAAAACATCAGCTGAAAGGTTGCTAGAGAACAGGATTTTCAGTGTCAAAGATCACATACTATTTGCAAAGGGAAAAAAAAAATTTATCTTACAATGGATATCCGGGTGTAATCACCTTAACTCAAAAGATCAAATTTATCATCACTAATCAGGAGAAGAGTTGACATTATGTGCTCCTGCTGTGATGCAATATGCAGAACACATCATGTATAAAGAATTCTTGCCAAAAATGTTCCAGTTGATGCTAATCTAGCCTCTAAATCTAACTTACAGTTTACAGGAAATACAGGAGATTAAAGAACACCTTAGGGCCAGCCCGGTGGCATAGTGGTTAAGTTCACAGGCTCTCCCTCAGCAGCCTGAGATTCACGGGTTTGCATCCCAGGTGCGGACCTATACACCGCTCATCAAGCCATGCTGTGGCAGTGTCCTACATACAAAATAGAGGATGACTGGCACAGATGTTAGCTCAGGGACAATCTTCCTCAAGCAAAAAGAGAGGAAGACTGGCAACAGTTGTTAGCTCAGGCCAATCTTCCTCACCAAAAAAAAAAAAAGTTAGAGAGACCGTGAGGAAACAATCAGACAAATTCAGAATGCGAGACATTCTACCAGACAACCAGCCCGGACTCTTCAAAACATCAATGTCACAATGGAAAGACTGATTCTAGATTTAAATACACAACCTTCAAATGTTAAATATGAATCTCGACTGCTTCCCTGGTTGGAAAAAAAAAAAAAAAAAAAACCTAGCCAATTGTCTCTTTGGGACAAATGGAGAAATTTCAATACATGTTGAATATTAGATGGGATTATTGTAAATGTTATTCAGTATAACATTGTGTGAGAGCTAATGTATTCCAGCTGTAGTGTGTTCCTTATTCTTATGAGGTGCACTCTGAAGTAGGGTAAAGTATCGCGATGTCTTCAAATACTTTAAAATATGTGTCTTTGCACATCTATATGTATGTATATACACAAACACAGAGTGAGCACAAACATAGAATAATTTCTAAGTGGACAGTATATGGCATGTTCATTTTATTATCTTTTCAATTTT